AAATTCAAAGTGCATTCCCATGAGGATGTGGAAGAGAGATAGTATTACTAACATCAGTGGGTCCTGACTGAAAGCAGAGAATCCAGAAAGATGCTTATTGGGTCTCATTGACTATGCAAAAGCATTTGACTGTATGAGTCATAACAGACTAGGATAACCTTGAGAAGAATGGGAAATCCAGAACATTTCATGATCCCCGTATGATATCTATGCATGGACCGAGAGGCAGGGAATGTTGAGTGGTTTAATGTCAGAAAAGGTGTGTGTCAGGGTGGTTTCCTCTCACCATGCTCCTTCAATCTGTAGAGTCGAGCTCCTCAAAACAAACCATTTGAGAGGCTGGACTACATGAAGAAGAATCGAGCATCAGGATCAGAGCTCATTACGAGTGCGTAACTCAGAGATGGCACAGCCTGCTGAAAGGCAGGACGACTTGAAGCATTTGCTGATGAATCTAAGAGACTCAACCCTTCGGTATGGATCGCAACTCAATGTAAAGGAAACCAAATCCTGACAACAGGACCAATAGACATCATCCTAGTAAACGGAGAAATAATCAGTTGCCAACGGTTTTGTTTTCACGTGGTTCACAATCAAAGCACGTGGAAATAGCAGTCGAGAAACTAAATGATGTATTGCATTTTGGAAATGTGCACAGGACTCTAATTCTACCTTACAAATCTGGCTACACCAGAACATGTACATGGGTACAGACAGATAAGAGCTGGAAACACAGGGAATGTAGGACAGATAAACTCCTTGGGTGCAATATTGAGAGTAGCCATACCAGGAAGGTAAGGGGAAGGTAAGATAAGGGGAAGGTAAGCGGGGAGAAAAGGGGAACCAATCACAATGACCTAGCTCTAACCCCCTCCCAGGAGGATGGACAACAGATAAGTGGGTAAAGAGAGACATCAGACAGTGAAAGACATGATAAAATATTAATAATTTATAAATTATCAAGGGTTCATGAGGGAAGGCCGGTGGGGGAGAGGGAAAATGAGCTGATATCAAGGGCTCAAGTAGAAAGAAAATGCTTTGCAAACGATGATGGCAACTTATGTACAAACGTGCATGAGACAATGGGTTGTGATAAGAGTTGTATGAACCCCCAATAAAATGATTTTTTTCTCTCGATAAATTGAATTAAAAATAATACAAGTGTTCAAGAGTAAGGACTGATGTTGAAGGCTAAGGGGCTTCAAATCTTAGTCATAGTATTTTCCATCACTTCATACGCATGTGAAACAAGACCAAAGAAGCCATGCATTTGTATTATGGTGCTGGCAAAGATTATTGAATGTACCGTGGAGTGCCATAAGAACAAATAAATCTGATTTGGAAAGATAGCAAGAATTCTCCTTAGGAATGAGGTTGGTGAGGC